AATCATTAATATTCACTCTCCCCACTACTACTAGCATTGAAAAAGAAAAACATGGTTAAACATGGTAATCATCTTCAATGCGCCGCATAAACCACCGCCCTTCTCGAGAGGTTGAGAGGGCCAGCAGCACAGCCCGATTCTACTCTCAGTGGTTGAGATTGCCACTGTACTACCACTCGGTAGGCCATACCCGCCAGCTCTACAGAAACCAATCCGACTTTGCCACGTGTTTATCCAAAGATATTTTCTCCCACAGCAACACTCTCCTGCAACTTTCCCTCACCACATTCCCCTACACCACCGCTGCTCCTTACTTACCACGTCACATTCCCCGTACCAGTCAAGGGCGAAATTCGTCCATAGAAAAATGTTCACAGTGAAACGCCTTTCACCTGCTCCTGCTCTCTCGGATATCAACAATTTTATTATTCCTCGGTAACCCTGTCGTTGCTTTCTCTACCTCTCTGCGGCGGGGAGATATTAGGGTTTTGCAGCTTTTTCATGGGGAAAATGATTAAGAGAGAAAGACGACGCTCGTGCTCTCCATTTCCATTACACCCATAAGATGTAATGTAACCCATAATCCATTCCCATCCGTACACTTCTCTCTAGGATCTTACTATTATAAGACTCAAAAGCCTCTTCCTCTTCTCAATACCAAAACCCTTTTACTACGGCGTCCTCCATGTTGGGTGTCTGCTGATTTTCTCGCTTTCTGGTTTTAGGCGTTTTATTGCTGCAGAAACGTTCACAATGAGTTGGGCTGATTTGGGTAGTGAGTCAACCTGGCAACCAGCTGCTCGTGCTGCTCGAAGCCCTTATATTCCTCCTCACTTAAGGCACCAGAATGCCAATGTCGATGCTTCCTCTTATGGGTTTTCTTCAGAGTCGACTCCTGCGCGTTTCCACCGTTCCAACTCTTCTCGACCTGCTGGGAACGGTCGTGGTCGCGGTCGCGGGAGTGGACACTGGTCCAACCGCCAAAACTTGCGCAGCGACCCAAACCCATATCCAGACTCTGATGACCTTAGTCACCTGACAGACAAGTTTGATGAACTAGAGGTCATAGAGGACACCTCCGCTGAAGTATTAGCTGCCAACTTAGACGCATATGAGGACATTCCGGTGGAAACAAGCGGTGATGATATACCGCCACCGGTGAAGTCGTTTTCTGATATCGACTTAGGAGATGGGTTGAAGCAGAACATTAAGCGGTGCAAGTATTTGAAGCCTACTCCGATCCAGCGACACGCAATCCCCATGGCACTTGCGGGTCGGGATCTGATGGCCTGTGCCCAGACTGGCTCCGGGAAAACTGCTGCATTTTGCTTTCCGATCATTTGCGGAGTCTTGAAAGACAGACTGTTGCCAGCGCGTTGTGGTCGCGGTCGTGGAGGGAAGATGATGGCGTGTCCTCTTGCGCTTATTTTGGCTCCTACTAGAGAGTTGTCTTGTCAGGTGAGTTTTGCTTTTCTGGTTCTCAGCTTTTTGGATTTTCTTCCATTTCATTTATCTGATTCTGGGGTTTTGTGCATGTTATTATTACATAACTTTTTCTTTGGCTGTTTCATTAGATACATGAGGAGGCAAAGAAATTCGCCTATCAGACTGGTGCCAAGATTGTTGTTGCTTATGGCGGGGCGCCCATTGCTCAGCAGGTGTGTGAGTTCTTCTTCAACTTCTTGGTGTGGTATTTTAACACGTGATTTGAGGCTAACTAAAGCATGTTATTGAATTCCCTGGTCATTACTGTATTTTGATTGTGCAATTTTTTTTTTTTATCTTCTTTTCAGTTACATAATCTGGAAAGAGGTGTTGACATCTTAGTTGCAACTCCTGGGCGTTTGGTAGATATGATTGAGAGAGCAAGGGTTTCTCTTAGGATGATAAAATACCTGGCATTGGATGAAGCTGACCGCATGTTGGATATGGGTTTCGAGCCTCAAATTCGGAAGATCGTTGAGCAAATGGACATGCCCCCACCAGGGACAAGGCAGACAATGCTATTTAGTGCTACATTTCCAAATGAGATTCAGGTTTTTACTTCGTTTCTTTTTCTGATTGTATACAATGGTAGATTTTTTTCTTGACGCAGAGATAGTTGTTTGTCATCTGCTCCGTAAGTGTACTATTTAATGTTCATTTAACCTATAATTCATCTCAACAACTCAACTCAACAAAATTTAATCTCAATATGTTTGGTTGTACCCAATTTATTGCCATGGAAGATATAAAAGTGTTAAATTGTTACTACCTGAGTTACCATAATTTGGTTATGCATACTTTAGTTGTGTTAGATTTTAGAGTTAATTTTGTGTCTAACAGTTGTCACATTCATAACTCATTGCAAAGGCCAAAAAATATAGATACTTGTTGCAAAAATTTTATGAAAGTTGTTGCAGCTTATTTGCCTTTTTTTTTTTCTGCAATTGCAGTGGAAAGATTTCAAATGATATTGGCATCAACTGTCTGAGAATATTTTTTTGTATGTTGTTTTCACTCCTGATTCTGATTGTTTTAGAGCTATGTTATTTTTTCAGGCTTATTTTTATGGTTGACACATTTCTCTACCCTTTTTTTTTTTTTGGCAAACACATTTCACTACTGTTTGAAAACTAACTTGGCTTCTTCTACTTCATAAAAGACATTGTGCTAATCAAGCAAATATTAAGGTTGTTTGCTTTCTGAGATTGACATTGCGCAATATATGGTTCTTTATGGGTCTTGCTTCAATGTATTATTCTTGTTACTAAAAAACGGTATTATGTAAATAGTTTTGAAAATCGTTTACCATGTACGTTGATTAGTAGCAGCCTGATACAAAAACAGTGCTGCTTTGTATGATTTGTCTGTTGTTAGGTATTGGCCAGAAAATGAATTCACATCTTACCAAAAAACGGTATTATCCAAGCTCTTGTCAGAAACTTGAATTCTTTTATGTAATAGATTTTGACAAATAAATTAAACTGCATTTCATTTTCATTCTGTAATTGTTGTCAAATAAATCGTTTGTTAAATTCTTTTCATAATTGTGTAGTTGACAACTGCAGCCTAGACAACCTTGGTCCGTCACACAGTTTAAATTTGTCTAGATAGCAGATTGGCCTTTTTGCTTTCAACTCGGTTATTTGATTTGTTTTGTTGTTAGATTACTCACTAAGGGAAAATGGGTTCCATTGTTGGAATTTTATAATTTCAGTTTGATGGCTATCACTTGCGTGAATATTCTCTTGGTTGCTCCCTTATCTCCTTGAATTCATTTTTTGCAGAGACTTGCTTCTGATTTTCTTTCAAACTACATATTTCTGTCAGTTGGGAGGGTCGGTTCTAGCACAGATTTGATTATACAAAAAGTTGAATTAGTTCAGGAGATGGACAAAAGAAACTACCTGTTGGATCTTCTTTGTGCTCTGAAGCATAATGAAACCTATGGAAAGGTGTGGTTGGTTTCTATTGCTTAATGATTTTCCTTCTTTTATACATCTCTTTCTTTCTTTTCGGTGTTCCAGCATGCTGATACACAGACTTTAATAAATATCTGCAGCATGCCTTGACTCTTGTTTTTGTGGAAACAAAGAGAGGAGCAGATGCTTTAGAACACTGGTTGAGCAGGAATGGTTTTCTTGCCATTGCAATTCATGGTGACAAAGGGCAAATGGTTAGTTCATCTTTCGCCTTACACTATTATTGATTTAGATTTTCACTCTATGTTCTTTTTATTTTTATATTTCGCTGAACCTAGCTATCTCTTTTCTTGTCTGCCAAGTCTTACCGTTACCATATTAAAGAGGTTAAATTTTGTTATTTTGATACGAAGATTGCAAGGAGTTAATCATGAAATTTACTCAAATTAGTTGGAAAATGTGCTTGGATGTTGCTTCCATTCATGAAAACTTGAGTATTTATTGACTTGATTTTTCCTGTTCCTAGCATATGTTTACTTGCTAAAGGTCTTTATATCATTGGTTGGAAACTCCTATAATCATTTGGCTGTTTCTTCCCAGATTCCCCTCTGGGAAGAAACTGTATATATTTGCCAAGTTAATGAGTATCCATTTGTCAAGTTCTTACCGAATGCTTTTCTCATATTCATTTATTTTCCAAATTTGAAGGAAAGGGAACGTGCTCTGAGATCCTTTAAAACTGGTGTCACTCCAATCTTAGTGGCGACTGATGTTGCTTCCAGGGGTCTAGATATCCCCCATGTGTCTCATGTCATCAATTTTGACTTGCCAAAGGACATAGATGACTATGTACACAGGATAGGTCGAACTGGCCGTGCTGGGAAATCTGGCCTGGCAACAGCATTCTTCAGTGACAAGAACCTTCCACTTGCAAAGGCACTTGTGGAGCTAATGAAAGAATCAAATCAGGAAATACCCTCTTGGCTTAATGAATATGCTGAGAATTCATCTTACGGTAGTGGTGGTGGTGGTCGTGCCAAACGATATGGAGGCAAGTTTGGTGGCCACGATTTTAGGAAAGGTGCACAATCTGGGAGTGGGAAAGGATATTACTCAAGCACTTATGGTGATGCCGGCCCTGTCTCAGATGCTTATGCTGCTTCTGGAGCAGTTCCTTACGCTGTCTATGGCAGTTCAGACTATTATGCTCCTACTGATAGCAATAGTTATACCAATGCTGACTATGTTGCTGATAGTAACGAAATGCCCTATGCAGCAGCATCATCTCCTGGATATGGATACGGTTATGGATCAGTTGTTCCTAGCGGATGGGATTAAATAAGCATCCTTCTCTTTTGTTGTTTCATTTTATACATTAGAAAAGGTCTTGGGATTAGATAAGGTCTTTGATTGCTTTATGACAATTAAGAATACAGTAGTACTATTCAAGACTAGTAGTTTATAGGTGGGTAATAGATTTTGATAAATAGTTGTTTACAGGGAATTGTTGAAGGATTTATATAGGCTTCTAGTGTTATGGGGCACTGTTTATCAGTTTGCTCCTGGGGCAGAACCCGTTCTAACCAGTATGGTTTTGAGGTTGTTTGGTGTTAGCCATTTTTTGTTTGCTCCATTTTGGCTGGCATTCTTATATTGGAAAAGCTTCTTAGCTGACATGAATGAATCTCCTGTTACATTTATATTATACATGTTTGTATTAACAGAAATGCTTTTGCCAGTTTCAACTCGCTATATAAAAGCCAAACCTCACAATCATCCACGTAACCATGCAGGTTCATTAAGGGCGTTAAAGTATTTGGATCTCACCATACGTTTAAGTTGAGAGAAATGGAGAGGAGAAGGGAGAAGAGGAAAATTATATCTTGCTATTTCCTTTTTCTCTTTTTTTTTTTTTTATTTAGATTAGTAATTAAATTAAAAAATAAAATAAAATAAAGATAATTTTTTCTCTCCTCTTTTTTAAAATTGTTTTAATAACCAAATAACAAAATTTTTTCCCCTCCCCCTCCCCTCCTCTCCTTTTAGCTCAAACATATTATTAATGCCATCGATTCATTTACAGTTTCTCAAAAATGGTATCCCTTGGGCCAAGTTACTTGTCACATTTTCTAAAAGAAGATGGTTTCAATGACCTCTATTTTAGATTTCTTTTTTATGTTTCCTTTTATTGGAATTCAGTCTTCCAATTTTACCATATACTAGTAATAGGCTATAAACTGTACTCCTGAAATTATTTTTTAATTAATAAATATAAAAGTTAATTTAAACGCATTAATTTGTTATAAATATATATTTAACTTCATATCAAATAAATTTTGAGATAAAAATAACAGAATAATTTATCAATTTTTCATCAACTTCTTTTGTCTTTACATTTATAATAATAATTATTATTATTCTATTTTCTTTATTTCAATTTATCTCACCTCTCTCAAAAACTCATATTAGAACATTTTAAATCAAAACATAAAAGACAAAATTTATCAGTATTATTCTTTTGGTATTTTTTCATTTACCTATACTTCACTTTTTATTAATTTTTCTTACAACACTATCTCTTAGCTTACCTTCATTTACTAGTTATAATGCAAGTGTAAGTGATTCTTAGGCTTGAGATTGTCATTATTTTATTTGAGAACTTATGTTCTTTAATGCTATTAAAAACAGTCACTTTGAGGGGTTGCAAGTAATAAAATTATTGGGTGCATAACGAATCTCATGAGAGTAATGGGTGAGTCAAGATAAAAATTCATTCTTCTCAAGTTTATGAAAAAAGATATATCTAACCCTTTGATTGAAATAAGATTACTTGCAAAGTCCATGACCATGGCAAAAATGAAAGTCCATTCAAGAAATATGTCTATCTTGGGAATCAAGGAAAGATATATCAAGCTTTAAGAATGATGGCACATAACATACATCTTGCTTGCTAGAGATATCAGTGATGAAGATTGAATTACACAAATGCATCGGTCATAGAAAGGTTTGTTGAAACCATCAACAATTTTGTCACATTGGGTGGCCATGATGTGTTGTTAGATGTCACTTTTGGTTTATGAGTATTTCTCACTCTTATCATGACGGAAACTTAGAAGGTCACACATTTAGTATGTTTCAGAGATTGGGATTTTTATAAATCCAAGTTTATGAATATAGATTAATTTATATGAAAATAGTATTTTCATAAGAAAAATAAATTACTCAATCTGGATTGAATTGGTAGAGAATTAATTAATTTAATTTATTTAATTCAAGTTTTGTTTTGTTCTAAGTCAAGGATAAAAAAATTCCAATAGTGGAGATTAAGTCCTTGGAGAACTATATGGTTGAAACCCTAGCCTATTGGACTTAGGGTTTGGGTAGCATAATGAGCTGGGAGCCCTAGCCAAATTCTAGTCCGACAAGGACTGGAATGTGTGGCAAAGTATGGGAAAAAATAGGGAAGGAAAGTTTTCTACTTCTTGGTTTTATACTTTGACTTGAAGCTAAGTTTAGCTATTCTAATCAGATTAGAATAGCAAATCTTATAATCCTATTAATATAAATAGATGTAGAAAACCCTAGATCCCTAACAATGGTGAACTAATCTTCCATCATAGAATTTTAGGCCACTCAAAATTACTCTACCAAAAGCCAAAGCTAAGGAGATTCAATTGGGTTTTAGATTGCTAGCATTGTTGGGGATGTGGTCTTCTTCAAATTCCCAAGCATATGTGTGGATCATTACAAAAGAAATTATACATTTGAATTCTTTGGTGGCTTAATCAGAGAATGGTGGTCAGATTTACACATCAATAAGGCACGCATCATTGAGGCATTGATCTTGAAAGAGGACGAGACTAAATTTTGAAACTTTTCACTTCTATTGTGCTTCTAAACCTAACATTCAACATTCTCAATCTTTTCCCTCTTTTTTGACTCTTTTTGTTGTTCTCTCTTTATTTTTCTTATTTTCAACCTCATTTTCTTTTCTTAGCTCACTCTCTTTTTTTACTCTCAATTGATCCTCATAAACCTGAATTAATACTTGGCACTCAAATACCAAGATGGTGCAAACCCCAAAGGGCACAAAGAGACCCACACACAAAACAAAACAAAGAAATTTGAAACCTCAAGGAAAGCCAAATCAGATTTATAAAAGACGTGCTTAACCCAATGTTCATATCAAAAATGAACCAGAGCTATAAGGAAGGAATTTTTATGCCACACTTGAGAACGATTAAGAATGAGATTGATAAGTTAAATTATAAAATCATAAGAAGAATCTTGAAAAGTTCTATAAGTTCGCAAACGAATAAAAAAAATATCTTTCAATTAATCTCAAAATAAATGAACATCCCTCAATCAAGGTTATATGCCTTTAAATAACTAATTTAGTCTAAATCAAAATAAAAAATAACTAACTGTGCACAAAGCTTATTAAAAGAGAGATTGGACATGCGCTACTTCTAAAAAAAATTTTGAATATGTGTCATCCTTAACAAAACACGAATTAGACTTCAATGAAAACAATATCGAACCCAAATAACTCAAGAAAATGCAAAACTAATTAAAAACAAACTTAAAATCATGCAAAACATCTTAAAATAGCACAAAACACTAATTTGTAACACATTATGACAAAATTATGCATTTGTCACAAATTTAAATGATTTCGGTCTAAACTTTGTAATTTCACCTAAACAACTTCAAATAAACTGTTCTTGAACTTGAATGACATTTAGTAAGCCTTGACAATCCTCCAAGTTCAATTGACTTGTACATTTTTATAGTTTCTTGCATCTTTTTAGCTTTAAACTCTCATTATTAGACCTTCTTATATACACAATGGATTACTTAACGTTATACATGTGCTGTCGCTTTGATTCACATTACAAGTGCTCTTATTTTAACATAAAAAAATTATTACTAAATTACTTCAATTACCAATAAAAATGCCTCATTTTAAAAAATGGAATTGCATGAAAATTAGAAGCATATATAAATTTATCATGCCTAAAGTGCGTTCACACTTCACACTACTAAAGTTATATGTTGAAGATCAAAATATTCCAAGTTGCCTTTAATTTAGTGGACTTTACTTATTCCCACAAAAAGCAAGTTTCTCATCTTAGGTGTGACAAATAAAGCTATTCCCCCCAACTATTAAAAGCATGGTGATATAAGAACAACTTCTTTGTATTATTTTTTTATATAATTTTTATATGTTATTAAATAAATAAATATACTTAATATTATATGAGTTTCAAGTGAATAAAAAAAACAAATCATTTAAAAACATATAAAATTATATCAAAATGTGATAAAAAAAAAAAAGTTTTTTGAATCATTTTCCTATAAAAATGGAGATAACAACAAGGAAACACATAGATTCCCACTCAAGTAGTGGAGCTGCGAAGCAGATATAGATTCTGGATATAGATTCTGAAAAGGAATAATGCTTTTTTTTTTTTTCATTGGACCTCTGAATGTTGTAATTGTTGCATGCCCTAATTTTCTGCTATATAATCCTCACTTATCATTGAAATGATCACAAGTTACTTGCATTCATAAACTGTAGTTCTTTTTGATAGTACCAAAGCTACTCTAGCTCCACCAAGTTTTTTGATCAATGGCTTCTGAGTTTCCTAGTTGTACCGGAAACATCAACAAAGGTCCCGGCGCTGGAGCTTACAACACTGGCTCTTTCTCTGGAAGTATTAACAATAACAAGGGACGAATCACCTTCAAAGCAAGTAGCCAGGAGAGAATTCCGATTGACGGTAGTCTGAACAAAGGCACTGGCGCTGGAGCTCACAATGCTGGCCCTTTTTCCGGAAGTATCAACGGCAGCGATGAACCTATAAATTTTACTGTTGGAATTTAAATTTAAGTATTACTTAGGCGCCAATGAAGGTGAACTGGTACTTAATTAATGTCTTATTAAATATTAATAACTAAATAATTGCTTTGGCGCTTGGGACTTTTTTAATTATTTTCTATTTAAGTTCTAAATATTTCAAAAATCAATTTTCGCACCTGATCCTTTGGATAAAGTAACCTCGAGTAACATTGTATGCATCCCCTTGTTATTAGGCGGGTTTGAACCCGCCTTGACACATTGTTTAAAAAAAAATCAATTTTCAAATACTTTAAAATTAATTATTTTTTGAGCGTCCTAAAAGTATTCTTGCCGTCAAAGTTCTCAACGCCATACCATTGATGGAGCCTGCCAATTTGAAGTTGCCATATGATTTAGAGCATGTTTTGTAAAATTTGTAAGAATTTTAATTTTTTTATATTATTTATGTTTCGTAATTTTAAATTTATCTTTTAAAAACTTATATAAATAGTTGTTAAAATCGCTCTCTTAATCGTGAGATAGCACGATTTTACGATATTAAGTGGCTTCAACTATCTAAGTCATACAAAAATCGTGAGTCTTGAAAAATCGATCTAAGGTCGCGCACAAAATCGTGAGATTGTGAGTAAAATCGTGAAGTCCTGCGATCTTAAACGATTTTAGAAACTAAATTCTTCTGAGATTATGGATGATAATTAAGAATTTTAAAATTAATTGTTCTTCTTCTCCGGCGACGGCAGAATTCCGTCTCTAGACTTTCACCGTTGCCACTGATTTTGCCTTGCTGTCGGTGTTGCGTTGCCGCTGGTGCTACCTGCGTTGCCGCCAATGCTGCCACTTGCCGCTGCTGCCACTTGCCGCTGCTGCCGCTTGCCGCTGCTGCTTGCCTGATTCGACCGCCGAGTTGTCCCC